AGGTATATTAAAATATAATTTTATATATAGATAAAATACATTATTTTGTTTGGCGTTTCCAGGGTTTTTAATGTTTCAGTGCAACCTAAACATTCTCGTTTGTGTATTTGAGAATACGTCAATACTTAGAACATCTGCATTCTTGTTTCATTCTGACTGATCTTATGCGAGCAGGCAGCATGAGATGTACTGTAAAAAATTCAGTTAAAAATCTGGAGTTATCACCTGTTTATAATTGTGGCTTTACTCCCACAGGCGTAATGCTGCTCTCAAACCTTAATTGATAAGAATTTTATTTGTAATCGAAGAAAACCTAAAAACACAGAGAAAAACGTAACAAGCAATTGAACAAGCGTTTCATTCACAAAATCTTGTGTTCCTTCCTACGTAGAGCTTTAGAAAAAATTGTGCCTTTCAGAACATGCTTGTCCTTCAAAGAAGAAAAGTAATTTACTCGTAAAACTACTCGAGGGGACAATATTCATAGAGGTCGAGTTGAGGAGCAAATTAATGAATAGAAAAGACTTCAGTCTTGCGTTGAAACTGCTGGGAAGGTCTGTTTCAGAGAAGGAGGGTGTGTACACAATGAAGATGTGTACGTAATGAGCGACTGTGCAATTTAATTGCTGAGCGAGAGCAGCTGGAGTACTGTACGTGTTTTTCCAGGAAAAAACATAAAACCAGACACCCCACAGATGTTGGTTAAACCGAGATTCATCATCTCGACTATTGGTAATTAATTCTGCCGACTCATATGCACAACGTATTTTGTGACGTAACACGTTTGGACTTACTTTCACAGATACCCGCGTTTCCTTCTTCCCAATCCCCAAAATGGCACTTTACGAGACAGTAGAGGTTGTTCATCTGCCAGTTCTCTTGATCAGTGTGTCTTTTCTTAACAGAATTGATATCACTCAAAATGACCTTCCATGGGAATTTATGACAGACCGTCTCCCAACCATTTTATTTTTTCCTCATCAGAGGTAATGTAATTCTTTTCCCTGTGGGTTTTTAACTTTCATTTTATTAAGTTGTAATAATTACCCGGTTACAGTTCTAGTAGAGAAAAAAGCCAAACAGTAATTAATTTCCATATATGCATTTTTACTTGATACATACTCTAATTTAGAAAAAACATCAACAACCAAACAACAACCAAAACACACCTGACAGACATGCATAGCTGACGGTCTGCAGATAATGAATGTTCTCTATAAATGTAATTATTTAATTGTTTGTAAATCTTTATTTATGAACAGCAACATTACTAACCTTATTCAGTTGATTTTCCTTATTTGGTTGTATTCAAAATTATTATTTTGGCATGTCCCAAATAAATTCATGAGTGACTACGGGAGGGGGAAGAGGGGGAGAAATGATGGAGATGGTGGTGCAACACAGATGTAGTGCAACTTGTATCTAATTGCTTCTAATTGGATAAACTAAGAGCGATCTCAAAGAATATCGTAATGGATTCTTGCAGTAAAATGCAAGGATTTGCTTGCTATATTTTTAATGAAGAAAAACAAAAAATAAGCACAGATGAAGAGTAAATAATCCAGCCCAAGCTTAGTCTCGTTTATGAGAACAAAAACTAACAATCCTGACGTTACAAAGGGAGAGGAGATAGATTGTTACATGTTTTTAAACTAAAAAATTTGTCTTAAAAAAATGATTAAAAACATCTGAGAACTAAAGGAGGGCTTATGCGTCCTCTGGAAATATTACAGTGTTCCTAACCTGCGAATTTTTACTTCTCCCTCGCTCCTGTGTGGTAGAATGAAAGTAACGTAATCAGACCGACTCTGGCGTGTTCATTGCTCAAACCGAAATTCTTTCAGGTCGCGTTTCTCACGTTGTTACGACGTTTGGCTTTGGGGGGGATGTACGTCTGTCTAGCTGCACCTGTATTTTGGATATCGGATTCTCTGGCGATCCGCATAAACCACGGACGTGTTCCATCGGCTAAGAACTAGTTTAACAGCGGCAGAGAAAAGTGACTTGAAATACTTTTGGCCTTTATAAGGTTGCTAAAGGAGATGCTAATACCTAAAGCAAAATCTGGGATTTTATACAGTATAGGAATGGCAGTATATATATAGAGAGAGAGAGGTCATAGCTTGTTCTGATTTCATAAAAATAAGGGTTACATTTTCTTCTGTTCTATCCTTCATTTGTATGTCCTCTGTGTGCCCTTTTATATTGAAAGAAGTTTCACATTAAAAAAAATTTCAATGTATAAAATGTACGTTAAATAAGAGGCATTTTCATTCTTGATAAAATCAGAATATAGAATTATTTTGTTTTTCCTGCTTTTGTGACATCATAAGTCTTGTTTGGTGACATCAGTGTGTTGCCGTGAAAGAATGTGAAACAACCCCCCCCACCCCCCCCCAAACAACTGTTACGAATGTTATAATCAAGTTGAAAGAGAATATGGGATGGAGTGAAAAAAGGTAGTTGAAGAAGCATAAGTATGAAACGGTAAGAAAATGTACTTAAATTGAAAACATTCTCAAAATTGTTTGGAAATTGCGTAACAGTTATTGGGAGACTGTCGTGTTGCATGGCTAGAAAAACTGGAAAACCTATTGTAAATACTTGGAGGGTTTTATTGAGCTGTTCTACTGCAGTGTTTCTTAAACATAAGATTTTTTTAAATTTTTTTTTTTCAAATTATGAAGATTTCAAATGGTGCGATACAGTCTCCAAGTGAAAGCCACGCTCAAAAGTAAAGTTATTTCATGTAAGAGCTTCTTGTGTAAACTAACACTGTGGTTATTGAAATAGCTTTTTTTTTTCTTTCTTAAAGCAATACTTACTAGTTTGTTATTTCACTTGGGCATAAACACATTTTTTTCCAAGGCAAAAAAACCATTTTGTTGCAATAGCGCAGATGCTTTAATTGTCATTAGTGTCCTTAATGCTATCGACTAATTTTTTTTAGCACTAATTTAAAAAAAAAAAATTACAAAGCACAGCTTTTGCAGATGCTATAGAATTGTATCATGGGAATTTGTGTGTGTTGCCAAAATGGTTTGGTTTTCATTCTGACTTGGTAACAAGTGCTGGATTTCTCACAGGAGAAAAGTAGCAGCGGAGTTGTTGGCATTGTTTCCTTAAAACAGAACACAAGTGAAGCCTCAGTAGCAGTTTAACACCTACAGAGGAAAATATCCAAAGGAGATGTACCAGTAAAACATGGTGCGCGTGCTGTTGAAGCGAAACTATATACATTGAGAAAGAGCCAAGAAATGAGCGTAGGACAGGGAAGTACAGTTTCAGGGAGACACCTAGGATTGGGACGATGAAAGAAAGCGGAGTTGGAGGAAGGGAACTGATTCACGAATGGGTGAACAAAAAAAAAAGGCAAGACAAAGGAGAGTGGGATAGAGAAAGGCACAAAGAATGGGTCAAGAAAAAAAGTAACTCTAAAGTTAGGGACGTAAAAGGGCAGGAGAGTACATTTAGGACTGGGAAGGGACCTGGAATGGCATACACGGGTCCTGACTCCTACTCTTACTCTGCAGCAGGCAGAAATTCTGGAATCCAGCATCAAACCTGTGTGTCACTTCTGCTTTGTACCAGTACACACGGCACAAGTGCATTCGGCCTCTCGTGGGCTGAGGAACAAGACTCAAACGCTAGATGCAAGAGAGCCACAGGCTTTTGAAAGTGCTCCATTTATTGTTTCAGATATGGTTTGGGTGTTACATGTATGCCCTATGCATTAGACTTGATACACATTGAGTTTTCTTTTTCTTTTTAAAAAAAGATTAATACTCAATCTTACACAACTACTATTTCTATAGAAAGGAAATGAAAACAAGCGCAATAATATATACCTGCCTCTCTGCGGCGTAAAATAAAAATGTTGATTCCCACCCTTCTCCCTCAGGAACTCTATCGCAATTCAGGCTATTGGTACTGTGCAGCGTTACCTACCAGAAATCTTTAAACCTGCACCTTAAGGTTTGCAATTCTAAATTCATGTTATAACTGACTACAGAAATAGTTTTATTTATATCAGTTCTGAGTCACCTCAACTTCCAATTCATCATCTCCCTGACTTGGTGACATAAGCCTTGCAAATTGGCTTCAGATCAGGCTCCCTCTGCCACATTACTCCAGCTCGGGTCCGGTCCTTCTCCGTTCCCTAGGTTAGTTGAGCAGGGACTCAGCTAGAGTAGTTCCAAGGTGTGTACCTGTCTACAGCAGAGCAGTGTTACTTTCATCTGCTGCTTAGCAAAAGCTGCAGTCTTCAGTGCCAAAAGCTCAGTCCAGTTACCTGTCAAGTTTTGCAAATTCCACTTGATGTCAGTTTTGCACATTTTCCAGCATTCAGACAGTTTATCTCTCATTTGCACAGTCCATTAGTTCTGGCTGGCTTGCTAGAGGCAGAGGACCTGCTGGTTTAAAGATGAGTAGTCTCAATTTTAGTTGACATGAGCCACGCGTGTTTTGCGAGCTGCTGTTGACGGTTGAGACAAATATTTGTAGGTGTAGTAATATGCTCCTTGTCTTCTACTCCGTTAGGTCAGGTGGCATAAGCTGAAGATCTACTAGATCTAACCATATTAACAACTATTGGAATACTAATGTGATTAATTTTGGGGCTGGAAAAAGTTAGAAGCTGATTTCCAAATACTGTTGTGGCTACAGTTTTAAGACCGCTATTCTAGTTAATGAGCCCCAACATACAATTTGGACACAGTCAGGTGACTTACTTTCCCCTCCCGCTTTTGAACAAGGATCTCATTCGCAAAACCGTGCCTTCTAGAGGACAGAGCGATCATCATGTATAACATGATGATAAAGGTTTTTCTCCAAATATTTTACAGAATAGCTTAAGCAGGTTTTAGAGCAGTAAAACAATTTATGGTAACTGAAACTTCCTCTAATATGTACCATCCTCCTTGTGTTGTTACTACAATGTCCGGTGTTCCCTGTTTCTTTTCACAGATACTTATTTTTGCCTTGCCTATTTGATAAAAGCAGCTCCAGTCTGTCTCTGGAGTGACAGACTTGACTTAATAGTTTTAGTAAGACTTAGTAAGATTGGTTTGGTAATGTTCCAGTTGGATTCATAAAGGTACCTTACCTGTAGTCATTGTTTTCTCTCCAGTGTGTTTTACATTTTGCTGCAACTAGGTAATCCAGAAGATTTAGGTTTTTATAGTATTTGTAGTATCAGTAGCACTTCTAGAGTAGTCGTGTATTGATTTTGGATATAAAGGTGCCTCATATTGAGGCTTTCCGTGCAGCTCCTTATGCATTTGCCTCATGAGACAATTTTTGCAAATTAACTCTGTTCTCAGTCTCTTTCCACCACGTGCTGTTAATACATTGGTTTGCCTCTTGTTTTAAATAGCCTTTTAGCTTTTCTGATGCCTGCTGTGTTTTTGATCAATGAGAACGGAGGATGACATAGTAAAATATTACCGCTTTACGATAAGTAAGTCAGTTTTGCGTTAGCGTAGACTATTTTTGGCCTAAATAGTGTTGCGAATCATTAAACTTCGATGTGAGCTGATTGTCACCTGAGAAACTGCCGATGGTAATTACAAGAGTAACTTGGTTGATCACCAGAAGTCTGCAGGGGAACAAAAATCACATTGCTTACGTTTCTAGCATTAGCTTAATGTTAATGAACGGGAGCCTCATCTGGCTGAAATTCTTGAATTATTGATAAAGTAAAGTATGGTATCTGTCTTCTACCTGAAATACAGTAAGTAGTTCTGAGTAAATGAAATTAGCATCTATTTATATCCCATATCCTAATGAGTAGGATTGCACAGAAAGCATTTTTGAGGCAACTGTAACAGGTAACTGAGTAATGCCGCTGTTCCAGATGCACGGCGTAAGCAATTCAGAAACATCACGTCACGTGGCGTGTGCTGCAGAAGAGTAGCAGCGCAAAACTTTGGGGCATGAGGCGTTATATTTGATTCTGGCTTTCTTGCTTTGGAATATTTTAAGGTGAAGGGTTAGTTCCTGTCTAGTCCTCAGAGGACAGTTCAGCCTCCTATGTTTTGTGACAGAAGTATGCGTGTGGTCCAAAAAGGGCACTAATTTTAACATTTCACACAGCTGGAGGTTGTGGGTATCTTTTGGTGGTTTGTAGTCTCCAGGAAGCAATTTGGTACCTGTTGGTCTTCAAGTAGCTTGGACTCTTTTGTCTGGTTAAGAGTAACAGTTTAGGCTGTTGCAGAAGGCCGTGGTCCTGCCTCTTCATATGGTGGGGTTAGTATTCACAGCTATATAATGAGCTTCCAAAAAAAGAAAAAAAAACCCCAAACCAACCACAAAACAAAACACTGGCAAACTTGTTTGGCTTTCTTCCTTGATCACCTCAGTGGCATAAAGACAAAAGTAGTAAGAGGAACAAGTAACAAGATTTGGGGGTTTTGACAGCAAAAGGGCCTTGCTCCTGACTAAAAGTGACTGCTTACTGATTAAAAGCAAACAGTACTTTTCTGCTCCCTCAGTACCCTTCCGACATTGGAACACATTAAGCTACTTCTTCCAGGATAACATATAGAGGCTCAAAATAGTTGTTTCCCCTCAGATAGCTTTATACATCTGGACCTAACTTCTAACAATGTATGTCAAATTAGGAACACGTAAGTGCTCTCCTTCGACTTGTTAGCAAATGCATGCTCTGATCACACCTGCCTAACAGTGATGCTACCATACGTACTTCAAGCCCATAATTGGGATACTTTTTTTAAGGGTAAAATATGTTTCGTGAAATTTGACAGAGAATTTTGCTCTCAGACAAGTATCAGTCCGGTGCAGAGATGCTTATAGCACCTAGACAGGAATACAGGTAAAAGGGTTCATCAGAGGAAAATACTGCGCGCTCTGTCTTTATTACATGAGTTCAGGTTTCTCTTAGCTGCTACATTAGCTATTCTTGATTAAAAACCCCAGGATATCGAGCTGGAGGTGACCACCAGACACTTAGATAAAATTATCATGGCTTATCTTTGTGAACGTTTTATATTAACTTGTTATGTCTTTCCAGGAAGGAACAAAGCGTGAAGTTCCCTGAAGACTTTTCAGTTAACCTACCTAATCTCCTTAAGTTTATTTTACATCACTCAAGTCTTTCTTCATCAGAGCCCTGTACCAAAGAATGCCTACATGAAGAGACAGTTCTACAGCAAGGACACATCTCTCACTTGGAGAGAGAAATTCAGAAGTTAAGATCAGAAATCAGTGCCCTTCATCAGGCCCATGACCAGCTTGAAGCACAGCTTTCTGAAGCTAGGAGAGAGGAACAGAGACTACAACAGCAAAAACACACACTGGAAAAGCAGCACAAGACTCTGCAGCTCCACAGTGAGCAGTTACAGGCCACATATGACCAGAAGAATCAAGAATTACTAGAAATGGCTGAAAAGCTTCAAGAACTAGCTGATGCATCAGAAAACCTCCTTAAAGAGAATACTTTACTGAGAATCCTGGTGGCATCGAGGGAAGGAAAGCTGCAGAGCAAAGATGAAATGAAAGAATCCCTTCAGCCAGAACAACCGCTCGCTGAAGATAATGATATATCAGTTTTGACAGCTACTGCCCTGTTAGAGGAAAAAAAAATCGATAATATTGATGCTATAGAGACAGAGCACAGTAGTAGAAACAGGACAGAATAATTGCTTACACGAAGTCCCATGATGCAGTATTGGGTAGGTATTTTTGCAAATTTTATTGAAATACATTGTAAATAAAGACCTTCCCCCATGTGATCTAGAAAAAGAAAAATCAAATGGAATATTTTTGTATGCTTGAACAACTTATTAGATACCCACAGAGAAGAATGGAAAACACTTTCTGCACTTTACTATTGCACTAACTTGCAAACACCTATCCATTTAAATTAAAGATACTGATGTTTAGGGGCAGCAGTGTAAAGCACTTCTTACTAAGGACCAGGCATTTTTCACTGGCTTTCTCTTAAAACTGCTAGAAGAGAAATTAGACCTTTGATTTTTTACCTTTCCATAATTTCTGAAGTTTGCCCTTCACACTGTATTCTCTTTGCGGAGTTAAAGTAGAGACGCTTCATCTGTGTAATCGGTAAAACTTGAATGGAGAGAAAGTCATCTTGCTACAACTATGCTGTTCTGGAATGTCAGCACTTTGTATCGCTTTTGTATAGCAGTTATCTGACTGTCTTGAAACGAGGAAGAGCCACACGCGAACTGTTCTCTACTGAAAACTAAAGAAAGTCTTACCGAATTAATCTTGTTCTCCTTGATTTGTAAGGGGTCTAGAATACAGCAGTTTAAGCGTATGGGTCTGGCTCTACGTGCAAGTCTCATGAGACTAGTATCTTAACAAAAAAAAAAAGTATGTGCCAGGGAGAGAACAACCCTCTATCAGCTGCACCCCATACCGCCCTCAAGAGACAACAGAAGGAGCTTTTTGCTACTGACAGACAGCATTAATTTTGCTTCAAATCATAGCCTTCAATAAAAAAAAAAAAAAAGGCAAATTAGCACTAAAAATGCAAGTCAACATCTTATTGTAGAAGAAAGGAACAAGACACTTTGTCTAGGCCATTATTGTCTCAAATAGAGTTACAATTCTCAAGCAAGCTTGCTAGGCCTATGTTACTTGTTATTCCATATGTACAGGTACAAGCAGCAAGTCTAATGCTTCCTATACAGCTGAAGAACTTGGACTTGGTTATTCGTAACTTATCTCAGGGAAGAGATTTACGGTAGCTTTTTTTTCCTCCTAGGCCATTAAGTGTTAAAAAATTTCAGTTGGCAAAGGAAGCTATGTACGTGCCTCAAAGCAGGTGTGCCTACCCTAAGAGTTTTAGAATAGCTAAGCTGCCATTGGTGGCTCAGCGGTGTTCCTTCTCCTCCCCTTTCTGCCCCTTCTCCCGCTCCCAAACCTTTGAGGTCCAGAACTCCCCATTTATCACTTTTTTTTTTTGCAGTTACTATAGCTGAACCATAGTACAGAACAGGAAATGGAAGGGAAGTCCTTATTTGGAAGGACTTCCCCATTGCTAGCTAAAATCTTCTACAAACTGACCAGCAATTTCACTTCCCCATATCAACATTTGTTTGCGTAGCAAGGACCAAAACTTATCTCGTAGTACTACACTTAAATCGGGAGAGTTGTCTACAAGATATGTTAACTGAATTCTACAGCTGACTGTTCCTCTGTAGACTAAAATGCCTTTTTACTGCAGGCTGTTAACATAGATCCTAATTGCTAAGTACACAAACCGGGGTTCTAGGAAATATTCCTACTAGTTGCACTTCTGCCAGTTGTAATAAGTAACCGCTTCTGCCGTTTCAGCGTGCAGACCTACAGAAAGAAAAGCCCGCTCTGCTACCATTTCAGACTCCTGGAAACCTTCTGGACCATCCCTGAGGGTTCATTATCCATCATTAGCTCCCAGGTTGGAATCCCTCAAAATGGCAGTTTCCTTGCAGTAGCCACATGGTTAGAGCACTCACTTCTGGCAGCCAAAAGCTTAACCTAGCTGCAACTGAAGGAAGTCACTTACTTCCTGTCTTGTAGCTCCTGTGTTACCTCCCTCAACATGTTACTGAAGGCTTATACTTTCTTAAAAAAAAAAAAGTATTCTGCTTCAGTCCAATAAACTGTTAAGAGTAGGAGTTCTGACTTTGTGACTGCGCACTCAAGCTAGTAGCGGAAACAAGCTTTAACCGCAGATTTGGGTGGAAGGTCTGGAATGCCATCTTCAGTTGCGGTTCAGGAGTCCCGTCATACGTTACGTACAGTTGCATCATATTATTCCTATATGCCGTGGAACACAAAGCAAAAAGCTTCTGGCAGCCTATTTACAGTTCACAGTTGTAAAGTAGTTCACATTACAGTAGTACCTCCATCAAAATAGGCTCGGCTAAACATTCAGGTAACAAAAAACACTAGCGGTCACTTAACGCCAATACATCCCCGTGTCCATTGCCAGCAAGGGACATTACGGCAGGTGAGTCGGCTCTTGTCGTAGAGGAATTGGGATACGCAGTCAGTGCAAAGTGCAACTTCTCAGTGCATGCAATTGCAAACAAAGGTTATTTAATCCTCATCAGGGTGCTTTCTGATGAGTAGCGTGCACGTGACCGGGTTCTTCACAGTATAAAGATTCTTCAGCTGGTTACACACCTCATAAGCATAGTCCGTATACACGCATTACTCCAAGTTAGCTGTGTACTTCTGTGCCATTTGGGGTTAGCTTAGTTTTCCTCTCCACACAAGGTCCTTTAGCAGAGTACTGCACCAGAAGAAAGGGCTCTTTGGTTTCTCCTTCACCCACAATGCTTTCCTCATCTTCAGACTGGCCGATCCTCTGCAGACGCAGGTAACACCAGCACCCCAGTATCAAGGCACCAAGAGCTGCAATAGCAATCAAAATAACAATAACAGTCACCACTCCAGTGGTGGGGCTGTGATCCGTAATAGACATGGTCAATTTTTCAGATTGACCAACTCGCTTAAGGAGATTCTTCTGTCTGCAAGCCTATCAGGCTTATCGCATCTTCCAACTCCTGCAGTGGAAGAAAAAAAATAATAGACACCTTATTAGGAAGTTGTGCAGCTTTACCACATTCAGCAACATAATATTCACAGTTGATACCCTTCATGATGGCACACGACTCTCGCATTCAGTGCTTTGAGCTTCTCGCGCTCCTACGGTGCTTACTCATTTTAAGCTATTACTTCAAATTGCCTTTGAAGATGCACGTTTCTACAGCAAACTAAAGCAAATGAAAGCTAAACTTACTTCACCTCTCAGCACGCTTGTGAGGGTAGCGCACGGTCAGCCTGCTAAGAGGTTACAATTTTTACTAGGAGACCGAAGATGAGACAAGACACAGACATATCAATAGACTATACGGAAGTTACGTGATTTGGTATAGAGAGAGATTTAAGCTGATTTAATACAAATGGTCAATAACGGGCGAGCTTTCAAAGCCATGACATGGTAGCAATTCAGTTACCTTTAGTTTTCCTACATAAACAGTACATTTGAGTCAGAAGTCTGGCCCTTTTTAAAAAGTTTAATTTACAAGCATCCTTCTTACATGCAGTTCCAGGATGGGTAAGCTGATTGATTGTAAAGGCAATTGCCGTGCTAAAGCATTACTGTAAGCCTGTCTGTAACACTAGTCTGTTTAGAAGGGTTGACTACATGGTAATTAATCAGTTGTTCATTGATCTGATAAAAACCGAAATGTTGCTTTATACGCATTTTTCATAAGAAGCGGGTAGAGCTAGAGCTATTGAAGACTAACAAAATACCAGGGGAAGATCATTACTTTAAGCTCCTGCTCCACTTAGCCGCTTTCAAACCACAAGAGCAAGGTCATGTGTTAGGACCGCAGCTGAAATTGGAACAGATGTTAAACTATAGGAAGATCAGACCCAAGTCTCCCATCAGTCTCATTTCTCAGCAGGCAGCGAGAAAAACCTTGCAGTCGCTCTGTGAGCAGGTGACACAAAGTTTCGGGACCTGTCCTTGAGGCGGGATGTTACACGTGAACGCTCGCTCTGTTGACACTAGAAAGTTACTTCCAGCTGGGTTCAGCTCTCCCGTGTCTCAAGTGGTTTTGCTTTGATATGGCAAAGTGGAAAGCGTTAAGAGATTCAACGCTAGGACCCCCCAGGATGCACAAGACCGACTGACCCTTACAAAACAATTTCCAGTCCAAATCTGAGCGCGACGCAGCCGCTTACAGATTGCTCTTAAAGATCTTTCTCAGCCAAATCCACAGGTTTTTACCTTTACAATTCTGAATGCTTTTTGATTTGATTAAAAATTTAAAGGATCGGTTTGAACTCTGGGACAGAAAAGAGCACAACTTCCCCTGGATGTACTGCCCAGTAAATTCCCTTTCTCTAGGCACAGAGGGCTGCATCAAGAAGCCCTTTCACGCATCTGTTCGGAAAGCTCGTCACATCTTTGCGCCATACCGTAGTTAACACTGAGAGCTCTAGGAGAAAACAAACCTATGTATCTCTGGAAAGATTATTCCACGGACATTCAGCGGACATTCACATCGTAGGAAAAGGACAACAAGATAAAAAATCAAGGTCACTTGATTTTTGAGGGAGCACTTCAACTCCACTGCTCAATGAGATAAAGTGTAGAAGTCATTCCTTCTGCAGGCATATCTTCGTCTCCTTCCCACTCACGGAGTCTGGAGCCAGTACTCTATATAAAGGCAGGTATTAAGCATCTATACAGATTTACAATAGTACAAACAGGTAGTTAATGGTGCACGATAGTAACTGGGATGGCAGCGCTGTTATTTTATTAGCTTTGGGTAGTTTTGTTTCAAACACCTGCGGTGTTGTGGCACCAAAAGCTACGGCACTGTTGCTAGCTCATGCCGCTATTTTTCTGGCTTTAGGTCACCGTACGCCTCTAGAGGCAAAGCTCTCCCGCCGCCTTAATTCTATCCTTAGCACGGTGGATTTGCATGTTGTAACTATGCTAATAAGAACTATCAGAGGGGCCTTTGGTTTCCGTGTTGTTTTCTAGACCCAGAACTTCAACGTCACTACTTTTTCCACCAGCAACTGACTGAAATCAAGAATAAGCCATCTTCAGGGTCCGCTTCCTGATGGGAGAAATACCGCGTTCTGTAGATCCGCTTAAAGTTATTTAAAGGCAATTACAACTAGCTTTCAGACTCACTTTTCCATTAAAGCACACCAGAGCTAAGAAAGCCCCTTAGGATACCAGAAGCAACACTGACTTAT